ATACTTATAATATTCTTAGGATATGAATAAGGAGTTAATATACAAGTTTTCTTATAAATGTATTTACTCGTTTTCATATTTGTATTACAAGCAAGTTGTTAAGTATTACGCATTTTTATATTATATTATATTATATCAAATATCTAATATATTTTATTTCCTTTTTTTCAGGAATAACCATTGCTGAATCCCCTTGAAGGACGCCCCTGCTGTCGCATATGAGTTTGGATCATCAATCCCCCGATGGGTGGATGGCCACCATCCCGTTTGCGATGCGCGTTTATTTAGTAATTTGTTTGTCTCCCGACTCAGTCACGGTTTATGGTTGACATTTATTTTATGAGCGTGAAAAATATATCACTCGGCAGTGGCAACCACCCAGTGGGGGATGGGATTCCAGGGTTTCAGGCAGGTGGCTGCACCACTCCGTCCACCACCCACCGCCCACTCCGCCCACATGCACCACTTAAGCCAATTTTGATAGCGGTTTATTGATGGTCGAGCGATGGGCGATTTGTGCGTTAGTTTCGCTCGAGTTTGCTGATTGAATCAGTGCGGATGAGGATGAGGATGAAGATGAGGACAAGGATGAGATCGATGGCCAGGATGCAGTCTACCTATAGGATATATCCAGATCAGTCACGGCTTATCGGAAACCAAACATGGGATCTGCACTGGGATTAAGAAATACTTACGTCAACTACCTTATAAAATTCAACTGAAATTTTCCTAATTGTAAGCACTGAATATGTTCTATATGGAGTGTACCTCAGCAGTTTTTATAATTTAAGTTAGAAACATTATATTATATATATTAATACTTCATCCTTAGATATTAAGGGATTAACCCACCCTTTATAATTAGTTTAAAGTGTTGTCTTTAGTTTTCAGGCCTAAGTTTCTATTAATTCGATAAATGTATTTCTGTTTCTTGCTTTCCAGCAATGGAACCCTTCAAACCCCCCAGATAAACCAGGTTTCCAATGACAGATAAGGTCCTCTGATTTTTCCATCGTGTGTCACTTCCTTTAGCTGGTATTGTTAGCCGCTTCTAAGGGCATCAATTATGCCAGGAGGCTCCTTACAAACTTATTGGCCTATAAACTAATCGCATAATTGCACAAAAGTAATTATCCTTGGGCTGAGCCTCGGCTAGCTCATTGTGCAGCAACTATGCGGCATATCCTATATCCTGCATCCTTAGGCCGCGGTCCTCAGTCCTCGGTCCTCAGTACTTAGTCCTTAGTCCTGATCCCCTGGCGCTCTGATTTTTCCACCTTGCTGGCCAACTATGCGGCTCATCCGCTCCGCTGAACGCCGCCAGAAGGAAGTGCCGTGCAGGACTCAAATCGCAGGACGCAGAATGCAGAATTCAGAATGCAGGACTCGAAACGCTGGCTAAACAGTTGGAAAAACACAGCGAGCCGAACAACAAAAACAAACACAAGGACAGCCCTTTGTTTGCTGAAAGCGAAAGAGAGGTGAAATTAAAATCAAGCTGTTGATAGCAATCACACACTCGAGGCTGCCCGAAATGGATAAATACACTGGGAAAAATTAGGTATTTTTTCAGAAAAATTAACACTATTAAAGGAACTTTATAATAAGTACTCCATTAAGTTAAATTGGCAATTTGTAAACTATTTAATATGGTATCTACCAGGGACAAAAAAATCGCTTTTGCTCTTCAACTAATTTAAATTTGCTTAATTAATATGGAATACCATTTAAATATTGTTTTATCTGTATACTTCTTTAATATTTTAGAACCTTTTGATTTTTGTGTTGTAAAACTATCAAGGAAACTATTAAATTACAAGTTTCTCAAGTTAGATTGGTAGTTACCAGAGGCAAAAGAACTTTATTGCATTACAACTATTGTACATTATTGTATATCTTAATTTTTAAACTTAAAAGTTGTATATGGTGCTTAAGAAAATATTTTAAGTAAAGTGAATTTAATAAACGTATAACTATACTTTTTGCAGTTGACAACAAGGAAGAACCTATACCAATTAATAGTGGGAAATGCATTCAACAAGAAGATCCGAATATTCTTCGAGGAGATTTTTCTCAGTGCACATGTCCTGGCTGTCCTTTCTACAATCCCGACGGCGATGCCAAGAGAGTGGGAAGCATGCATCACTAGCCGTCACATGGCCAACTGCTCGGGCTTCCGGCTTTCGAAGACCAGAATCTGTGAATCTGCGACTGTCATTCATCATTCGCCGTACTGGCTGCTTGCCATTTCTTTAGCTCCCGAATCTACATCTCATCTGCATCTCGTAGAACAGGGTTAAAGTAAAGTGAGGCAAAGGTAATGTAGTTGGGGTTGACATCCTGAAGTGGCCCAGTGGCTTTGTTTGCCGATTTGCGTTTGTCGAGCGTGCAGTAATTAAGTTGAAGTTGCCCAGCTGATTCCCGATAAGCCTTGGGATCAGGATACGACCACGGTGGTTAGGGATAATCCCCCAGGATGATCGGAAGGATGCAGTACCCTTCGATCTTTTGTCCTTCAGTCGGGCCAATTGGATTGACATCTGAAGATCACGGGATCAGGATCTGGCAATTACTGACACACTGATTGACATCTAAATAATTGTGATCCTGTAGTAATTGCTTTTGTAAGGGATCTTATAATTGAAAAGTTATTTGATCTTATGATCTATGCATTCAAAAATGCATTATGTCGTTTTAGAATAATTATGATAAATATCAAAGATTACCATTCCAAAATATCTATATAGATATAATATTGATAGAAATATTTTGATAAATATTAATAATAAATATTAAAAATTTATATATTTACTAGTTCTATAGCGATCCCAAGCCCAAGCTCATACACATAAGAATTAAATCTTCGTCACGCAGAAATTCAAAGCTCTTTCACTTCAACGATAAAGATAATCACCGACTTTTGCCTCTAAGCCAACTCATTAAAACTATCTCATGAAGCTCGGCCATTATTGATCGATATTGGCTGCAGTAAACGGTAAAGATCGGCAATGAAGATCACTCTATTCTCCCGCTTTTCCCCTCTAACTCACGGCTTTTGTGGCCAATTAGCTGCTGCCACAAAATGAAATCATTTCTCACAGCTATTGTTGGCCGGGCAAAAGTAATTAATTGCCAGTGGATTCGGTGCGATGGGGAGAGGTATTTCCATTTCCTCGGCCCCCGGTTGAGTGATTCTCCAAACGGACAGCCAATCGAAGGGAGAGTCGAGTCGCTCCACTGCAAGACCGAAGAATCGGACGGAAGACTGGGCCCCGAAGATTGCAACTGCGACTGCAACCGAGAGAAGCGCATACTTTCCAAGGCAATTATCGAATGCCAGCGTGTCAGCCTCGACTCCCGACTCCCGATTCTCCGGCTCCCCGTTTCCACCGATTCTTCCGACTCTTCCGATTCTCCCGGTCTGCAGTCTTCGCAGATTCTACCGCTCCAGAGTCGCCAGGGCGTCGCCGCCGGTTGGGAGAAGCGGGACTTTCGGCCCGTCTGCAGTTTCAGTCTTGCAGTTTTCCCTGACGCCAACAACGCCTCATCGTGTTTGTTTGGCCGCCAGAGCCGTCAGAGCCGCCACCGCAGCGACGCCAGCACCACCACCGCCTGCACCACCACCAGCAGCACCACCGGCACCACTACCACCACACGGTCCCTGCCGCTCCGAGTGACAGTGATGCCCATTTGGCCTTTTTTCCGGAAAAGAGATCTCAAGAATATGTGGAACTTGCCCTAGAAGTATGGATGTTTAAGGAAATGTTTCATGGAATTCAAGTTATATCAAAGGTATACACATAAGGTATATAATTTATTTGACCAAAGTACCATAGAAATCCTTTTTACCATAATCCCAACTGAAATTGTATGGCTTTTCGTTTGAAATTAAGTTGGAACAACTTTGGGACTTCATTCTAATTTTCCCTTATGGCTTTTCTTGATACTTGTTAAAATATATTGGTTTTAACCTATTAACACTGCAATACTTATATTTGCATAAAATGTTTTTAATTGTGGCTAACATTTTCCTGGAGCATTTAGAAAAATCTACCATATAAAGTTTAAAAGTCATAAAAAGACTAGATATAAACGGAAGATGTACTGTTTTGATCTATACAAAATTGTGATCATGAGATAGTGCTCTTTTAGAATTCTTTGTAAACAATTATATTAACTAAAGGTTGCTTCAATTTATGAGTTATACATTTTTTTGATTTTATGGTTTTATTTAAGGATCACCTTCCTGGTTTTCCAGGTGGATCGTCGACATCTCTGGCTGGCTAAATGGCTAAGTGGATCTACGCAACTGCAGCTCTTTCGTTGCCCCAAATTGGCCTTGAGGCAATGATTGGCTGCCGCTGCTGCCCAGATGCCAGCACCACCCCTCCCCCCGCTGCACCACCCCCTTGACCCCCATTAAGCCCCCCTGTAAGCCCCCCCCCCCCCCCTCGTTGCGTTTCTTTCGCACTGATCTCAGCTGTCGTCGCTTGTTAGTGCGCACGCGTGTCTTTCTCCCTCTAAAAAGCAGACAGCCAATGTGCTCCCCTCTCTTTCGCACCCACTGGTGGAGGGGGGGACTGTATATCCACCTCTCACTCGCTCCTCCAGCCCTCTCGCTCGCACTCGCCTGGGAATCGTGAGGCGTTGATGGCGATGGCGCTGAAGCTGGCGCGCATGCGCAACGCAACCACAAAATCGCAATTGCCGGGGCCAAAAACCAAACGAAACCAAAAAAAATCAAGCTACAAAAAATGAAAAAATAAAGTTGAGCTGGCACAACGTTGTAAGACATAGTTTGTTGCTGGTAAGCCCCCCTGGGCCCCCCATTCACCGCCGCCCCTGTGCTTGTGTGTGCGGGACCTCCCGCAGATAATTGCCCATCATCTCATCAAGTTCCGCCCAGCTATTTAACAACCGGCGAGGATCGGGAGCCGCAGGATGGGGATCGGAAATCGGGGGCCTCGAGAGCAATGAAACCCACAAAACAAGACACCAAAATGATGAACGCGACCACGCAAAGTAGAAGTAGCTGCCCGATCTGGGAGTCGAGGCCGGAGTCTGGGCCCTGGCTCCAGACCATACGATCTCGAGCCCTCCTAATCGAGGGGGGATCCATGAGTTGTATCCTGCAGCCTTTATAAAATAAAAAAAAATATATAACAAGTATTTAATTGTATACCATATTTAAGACGTCGGATTATTATTATGAAAGCATAAAATATGAAAACAGAGGAATACTATTTTTCCGCAATCCTTGAGTGGTTAAAAAATGTGTCATAACAAAGATTAAGTTAAGGTTAAATAAACCGGATGTTTATAAAATTGTTTTGCCATATAATCCAATGTCTAGTAATGACTTATTTAGTGAAACTAATTGCACACTTGATTTCAACGAGGTGGGTAATGCAATTTTTAAAAATATTTTCCAGTTATTTTCACTTAATAACATTTAATAACTTAACCTTTGGTGTGAGTATGCCTTTGATAAACACTCTATTATCTGCTGTAAGCCTTGATTGCTTGAACTTTAAATAGAAAACATTTATAATATCTAATGAAGTATATCAAGATTTTTGTTCTTTATTATTAAGTCATGATTAAATATTTATTTGTAGGTGATTAAGCTCACTTGTTAAGAAATTAGTTCCTATCAAAAAGCAACAATATAGTAAGAATATTTGGTAAGGAGAATTTTATATATGTAGTTAGTAATTTAATAATTATTTTTATAACAAATGAACATATTTGTTAAGTACATAAAGGGTATAACATTTTATTGTATCTTAAGGATTCTGGAACTTTTCAAGCTGCCTTGGGCTGGCGCCACCAACATTCAACAGCAGCTTGGGGCGGCGGCTGCAGATCGGCTCCAAATCGCACAGGTCCAGGTTGCAGCTCCACTCCAACCACTTCGGCCACTCCGACCACAGGCATCAATAGCACCACCGACGAAGACCAAGACTACGACCAAGACCAAGACCAAGACCAAGAAGATCCGAGCACGTTAATCGAGTCATATCGATTTTGGCGTGGTTCGTGTCTCGGACGTTTTGCCCAACCACCGCCCCCCGTGCCACTCCCCCCCCCTTCACTCACCAAAAAAAGGGGGAGGGGCCGATCCCATCAGCGGACTCGTAACTAAATTGAATCCAATTGCAGACGAGTCGGGCCAAATAACTGTGAGACATAATGAATGAGTGTTGGCCAAATTGCAACTTGGCTTGCCAGCCGGCCAGTTAAGGGTTAATGGGTGGCCGCCAACAGGGGGGTTAAGACCGTCCAGGGGGGTCCCAAGGAGGCGGGGGGAGGTGGTGCTCTGCATCTTCTTCCACTTTGATGGCAGTGCCACTAATATCTCAATTGGCCAGCGGAAGGTTCAATAAACCGAGCCAATGGGCCACCCACCTGGGGCTTTTGCACCTGTCTGCGATTTTCTTCCTTATCCTGTTTCTTCTGCAGCTATAAAAAAATTATAAATATTATTATTTTTACAGAAAAAACTAAAAAACTAAAATTTGTTTGCAAAGATAATTAGTTTCCTAAGGATTATTACTAATATAGCTTGCTTTTTTTTGTATCTCAGTAACATCGTTTTTCTAACACACAATATCAAGCAGTTCATGATTTATTATAAGTAAATGTAATAATGAAAAGAAAATCAAATACAGCTGGAAGTCGTGTACTTATAGTTACCCATATAATCCAACGTGTAATTTTATCTTAACCAAATACATTTTTGGTATTAAATATAAAAAATGTTTCTTAAAATCTTCTTACTGGTGAAAACTAACTGACTAGTTCAGATCCCCATTTTTTGCAAATTTCTTAAAATTTGAACAGTGGTCAAAACTAACATTTTTTGGGAATAAATGCCAACATTTTCTTATAAGTTCTGCAAGGTATGACAATCAGTTTGCCATGATTTAAAAAAAAAGAGAACTATGTATTTTTTAGTATCGTTGGTATTAGAATTTCATAAACTTGTTTATTTCTGATTTGATTGCTGCCTGTCCTCTATTTTCTCTGAGTGCAACCGTGTTGCTGCTCCACTTTTCGCAGCTGACAAGACAAACAGGCCCAAGGCATTGGCCAGCCCGAAAAACTTCTAATTGAAGGCAAACATGTGCTGGCCGCTGGGCGAAAGGGGATCCCTTCTAGTGGTTCAATGGTCCAGTGGCGCAGTGGTCAGTGGTCCAGTGTTCCAGTGTTCCAGGATGTAGCGTTGTCCAGAGGGACCTCGAGGGCAGCAGCAGCGCCACCTAGCGGGCGGCCAGGCTCCTCCTTGCTGTGCATATTGTATTCCCCATTAGAGATGGACGCCTGTCCAACTTTCAGCCATGTCATGTTTGTCATGTAGCTGTGGCTCCACCTTTTTCTACCCCTCCTTGTCCCCACCCATGCATCCTGCATCCTACATCCTGCATCCTCCCCCCCCCCCCCCCCCTCGTACTGTTGTGCCTTCCACTTGATTTTCACTGCTGCTGTTTGCTCCCCCTCAAAATTCTGTGTCGCTGCCTAATGGGCGCACTTGTCCGAATTGTGAGGGGGGTTTTTAAGGCTGGGTGGTGCTTTAAAAAGGGGGTTGGGTGGCTGGGTGGCTGGGCGGTGTTGGTGACATCTTGTGCTTCTTCTTCGTGGAGCAGCACTTGACCTGGTTCTTTTATTTTTTTGTCGACTACGATGATGCTGCAGCTTCTCGTGGAGCTTGGGCTACGTGTGGCACAAAGCTAATTGCCTGCCTGCCAGGAGAATATTTATCCCTGCTCCTGTACGAACCACTCAACCACTTGAACCGCCAAACCACCTAGGCCCCCCTGCCCCCCTCAAAAGCACCACCCACTCCGAAGTGCACCTGATTGTGTCACACATTCGAGCCGAGGCTCTCAAAATATTTTCCACTTCGTTTGCCATAAACTTCTCAACTAACAAAGATAAGAATGTCTGCTGCTTTCAGTTTTCAGTAAAAGTCATATAAATGACCTAAAAAAAGATATGGTATACAAAAATAACGAAAAGAGTTAATTAAGGAATAAAGATGCCAGATCTTTTGAATTTAAAGGACTTTAACAAACATTATTAATCTCAGTTGGTGTCAATTTCTTAAAATAGAAAGTATAGAACCCCTATTAATAATAACTAAAATGTGGTTTTAAATTGTCTATACTATCTTAAATATTATCCAAACAATACGACCATAAACAACTTAATTATTCAATTCCTGTACATAAATAATCAAATAAAATAAAACCATCTCCTTAAAAAGCCCATTATTTCCACAGTTTGAAAGCCACTGATAAGACTTGATCTCGTGAGAACTCCGCGAATAGTTGGCACAGCACTGGACCACTCACAATAATAATAATAATAATAATAATCGCGCTGTTTGCAAAATATAATAAATTGCCAAAATGCGCAGGAGGCGCGCGGGTTTCACAAAAATGAAATGTGGCATAATGAAAACAAGAAATATGCCGACAGTTTTTGTTCTTTTTTTTTGTTGCTGTGGAGGTATAGAGGGTATGGAGACCCCAAGCGAAGGATCCCAGGGACCACCGCCTAGGTTTTTGGACCCAAACCGCCCACCGCCCCTGTTCATAAGGCGGCTGTGGCGGCTTTTTGATTTACTGAGGTTGCCTGTGCGACGACACAGAGCCAAAATGTTATTCAGTTATTAAATAGTTTTTATAAGAAATATAAACGGGAAGCATCCTTTGAGAAATATATTTATTTTTGATACTATAAATAAAATAGTAATTGCTAAAATCAAATATTTGTTAATATTGTTAATCAGGAAACTAATAAATATATTTATTTTCAAGTGACATACAAAATGATATAGTGGTGATAAGATATACTTAATTTTAAGATAGAAAAGTTCTTGATATGCACACTTAACTATTATTTCACAGTAATATGATTTTGTTGATAAGCTTGTCTATAAGTCTCAAATCGAATGGTTTGTCAAAGAAAACCTTTCCTTAAAACGGTGTGATAGCTGGATTGATCCTCCCCAATTTCAGCTACCCTTTTATGTTCTCAATATTTTTTCCGCAGTGCTCTCAAACAAAATGAGGATGAAGGCGGCAAGTGCCGCCACACACACAATAATAGCCCAGATATATGGTATAAGTAAATATATCCCCACTGGCATGAAGGATGACGCCAATTGGCCTGCGTTGCTTAGCGCCAACGAAAGGCGCTGCGGCCAACACACAGCCAGAAGCAGAAAGAGACGGCATGTGCGGCTGCGAAAGAGACGGGGCGACACATTGCAGGAACATGGCATTTTTTTTTTGAGCTCGGCCAGAAGCTTGGTGGCGCCTCAAGTAGCCCGGGCATGAAGGAAATAAAATAAAACAAATAAAAAACAGAACGGCCAAAAGGACTGTGGAGCGCATAACTTCAACTGAGGCGGCGGCATCGGCTTCTGATCAAACGTTTATAAGCAACGTCTTCAATGCCCAGCAACAACATTGGTACAACATCTGCAACAACAGCAACATTCGGCCAGTTCCAGAGCTTTGAGACAAAAGCGCGTTGGCAGCCAGCAAGCTACATAAAAAAGGGGGGATTTCAAAGGGGGTTTTCAGAGGGGTTTTCAAGAGAAGTTTTCAGGTGGAGTTTTCACACGGCAAGAAAATGTAATATCATCCAAAGAGAAATTCGATTTTATAGCACTAGATCCTGATAATAAAATGTTGCGTTTCTTAAAGGTATTCAATTTTTAAGGTGTTTTTTTATTGTAGCAAGCATATCCTATTAATATATTTTAGAGAGCGGGTTTCAATGTCTTTTAAATTTAGAAAATATATTGAAGATAGAATTTCAAGGGTTTTCTTAAAGGGCGGACAACTCCAAAGTCTTAAGCAATCCTTAAGTCGCGTTCTTTTCATGTCCTTTTGTATTTAAGTGTGCACTCGTTCGATTTTGTAGTTTTTTCTTCTTTTTTTTTGGATTGGATCGTCTTTATTTTGAGACAACGACGCCGGCAAAGATGCCCCTTCTTCTGTCTTTTTTTGGAACCCTCCTCTTCCTGCGTCCAGCGACATCTTCGGCAAAGTTATTCAAGTGGCGCCAGTCAAACATTTTTTTGTGCAACAACTACAACAGCAACAAAATGCTGCAAGTAAGCAGCGGCAGCAACAACAACAGCAATAAATACAACAACTTTCGGGCCTTCAAGACAACAATGAATGGCGCTCCACACACACACTCGCCTTCGAAGGAAAAGGGAGCAAAACTTAAGGAGCTGAACCATTGACCAGCAACTAGTGCCTCTAAAACTGTATCAACATTGGGGGGTTACATCATGTTTGCAATGATTAGAAATTAAACAACGAGTTCAACGAGGTATGACATTCTTCGACCTGATGGATATTTTTGTTATAACAGCCAAAAAACTACATTTTTAGGGCGAAAAAATGGTATTTCGATTTTGGTCAAAAATACGAGACTCACATTTTAGGCAAAAATGCGATTTTTCTATCCAGTTTTTCAATCGTAGTTTAGCCAAATCAAGGCGTACAGCTAAAAGACCGACTGTTTTGAACAGCTTGCTAGCTCTGCTAACGATTCCAATCATTTTAAGGAAAATTTAATTTTTGACCCATTTTCGCATTTTTTGTAGGGGTGTTTTTTTGCAAAAAATGTCAAAAGTTAAAAATTTCCAGGTTTGAATGCCAATCGATTGGAAATTAAACAACGAGTTCAACGAGGTATGGCATTCTTCGATCTGACGGTTATTTTTGTTATAGCAGCCATAAAACTAAATTTTTAGGGCGAAAAAATGGGATTCCGATTTTTTTCATAAATACGAGATTCACATTTTAGTCAAAAATGCGATTTTTCTATCCAGTTTTTCAATCGTAGTTTAGCCAAATTAAGGCGTACAGCTAAAAGACCGACTGTTTTGAACAGATTGCTTAATTTGCTAACGATCCTCATCATTTTTAGGAAAATTTATTTTTTTTACCAAATTTCGCAATTTTTGTAGGGGTTTCATCACATT